TGGGTTACTCCAGCACACAGAAGGGGTATCATTGCTACAGTCCTTCTCTGCACCGATACTTTACTAGTGTCGATGTCACATTTGAAGAGTCTGTTCCATACTTTCCAGCACCTTCTCAGCTTTTAGACCTGGACTTTNCTGGGTTACTCCCGCACACAGAAGGGGTATCATTGCTACAGTCCTTCTTTGCACCGATACTTTACTAGTGTCGATGTCACGTTTGAAGAGTCTGTTCCATACTTTCCAGCACCTTCTCAGCTTTTAGACCTGGACTTTGGATCCTCTCCTGTACCATCATTTCTTTCTTCATCTTCAAATATTCTGCTGCCTACTATGTTACCATCTACTTTACCTCTCCATGTCTATTCTCGCTGTCCTCGCCCATCAACTGAGGTGCATGTACTGTTTTCCTTGTCGCCTTCTGATCCTGATACATCAGGTAATTTAGACTCTTTACCTATTGCTCTTCGCAAAAGTACTCGTTCGTGTGTTACTAATCATCTCATTTCTCATTTTGTTTCATATGAGGTCTTGTCTCCTGTGTTCTCCTGTTTTACTTCCCAATTATCTGCTATATCTATTCCTAAGCATTTACAAGATGCATTATTTGATCCGGGTTGGAGGAAAGCTAGAGAGGAAGAGATAGATGCTTTACATCATAATGGGACTTGGGATCTCATTTCTTTACCTTCTGGTAAACAAACTGTTGGCTATCATTGGGTGTACACTGTTAAATTTCATCCAGATGGTTCTATGGAGCGTCTCAAAGTCCGGCTTGTTACAAAGGGCTTTACTCAAACTTATGGTGTNGAGAGGAAGAGATAGATGCTTTACATCATAATGGGACTTGGGATCTCATTCCTTTACCTTCTGGTAAACAAACTGTTGGCTGTCATTGGGTGTACACTGTTAAATTCCATCCAGATGGTTCTATGGAGCGTCTCAAAGTCCGGCTTGTTACAAAGGGCTTTACTCAAACTTATGGTGTTGATTATGAGGAGATTTTTTCTCTTGTTGCCAAAATTTCCTCTGTTTGTATCTTGATTTCTTTGGCTTCTAATCTTGATTAGCCCTTGTTTCAACTAGACGTTAAGAATGTCTTCTTACATGGTGACTTGGTTGAAAAGGTATACATGGAGCAGCCACCTAGGTTAACTGCTCAGGGGGATTATGGTAAGAGTGTATGTCAGTTNTTGTTGCCAAAATTTCCTCTGTTTGTATCTTGATTTCTTTGGCTTCTAATCTTGATTAGCCCTTGTTTCAACTAGACGTTAAGAATGTCTTCTTACATGGTGACTTGGTTAAAAAGGTATACATGGAGCAGCCACCTAGGTTAACTGCTCAGGGGGATTATGGTAAGAGTGTATGTCAGTTAAAAAAATCTTTGTATGGTTTAAAGCAATCACTGAGGGCATGGTTTGGTAAGTTTTCAAATGCAGTTTTAGAGTTTGGTCTTCTTCGATGTCAGACAGATCATTCTGTGTTTCATAGACAGACAGATGCTGGATATGTCATATTGGTGGTCTATGTAGATGATATTGTGATTATTGGAAATGATTCTGAGGGGATTGTCAAGTTAAAAATATTCTTACAAGATCAATTTCATACTAAGAATTTGAAAAAACTCAGGTATTTCTTGGGTATTGAGATGGCTCGATCTAAACAGGGTATTTGTTTATCGCAGATGAAATATGTACTTGACATGCTTAAGGAAACAGGATTGTTGGGTGGTAGACCGATTGATGTTCCTATGGATCCGAATCAAAAATTATTGATGGATGATGGTGTATTGTTTGAGAATCCGGGTCAGTATCGTAGATTGGTTAAAAAGCTTAATTATCTCACTATTACTCAACCGGATATTTTTTATGCAGTCAGTATAGTAAGTCAGTTCATGGGATGTCCTAGAGTACCACATTAGGAGACAGTTACTCGTATTCTGCGATATCTCAAACGAGCTCCTAGACTTGGACTGTTATATTGAGCTAATAGACATCTTAGAGTGGAAGGTTTCTCAGATACTGATTAGGCTAGCTCTCCTTCTGATCGGAGATCAACCACTGGTTATTGTACTTTCTTAGGAGGTAATGTTGTCTCATGAAAAAGTAAGAAACAACCCGTGGTAACAAGATCTAGTGCTGAGACTGAGTATGAGAGCAATGGCACATACGACGAGTGAGTTGACTTGGCTACTACACTTCCTCCAAAAAATTGGGTTTCCAATTCAACTTCCTTTACAGTTATTCTGTGACAACCAGGCAGCCATCCATATCGCTGTCAATGTTGTGTTTCACGAGAGAACTAAGCATATTGAAGTTGATTGTCACTTTATTCGAGACAAGATAGTAGCTGAGGAGATTACAACTCCATTTGTGAAATCTGAAGATCAGCTTACAGATATGTTTACCAAAGCATTGAGTCGTACACGTCTTACAGCTATTTGTTCCAAACTTGGATTATATGATATATATAGTCTAGCTTGAGGGGGAGTGATGTGAACCCCAATAGTCTTGCTTTGAGACCCAGCAACAATATTGGAAATACAACCCAAGAAAGCCAAACTCAAGTCTATGAATGGAGAATCTAGACCCGTTGAGATCTCGTTTCAAGAACCTAAATTATATTAAAATCTAGACCCGTCTCAAGAACACAAATTACAAGGAGGAACGCCACAAAGATTGTGATTTACCTTTGATAAGTTCAAAAGTTCAATCAAGAACAAGAGGAGTAAACTCAACTCAACTCACAATCAAAATTCATTATATATTGTCTATCATATTGTCTCCCCTTTTTCTTTTATTAAACGCCTATTTATAAGGCTAGTCATTACAAGGAAACAAATCCTAATTTACTAAGGAAACAAATTCTAATCTAAATAGGAATAAATAAAGACTAAAATTTGTGACCCTTTCTCTCAAAAATGCCCCTGAGTGAATAGTATCACGATACTGTAGCATGAATAGTGTCGTGCTACAATAACTTCTAAAATCTTAGTTCAAATAAAATAATAACTTTACTAATAAACCCTTGGCCAAAATACAAGGCCTTACAAAAAATCCTAATTCATAAGAAATAAGACATATGTGGGCTAGGCATCCTCAAACCCACTTATTCTAATCTAAAATAAAAATTCTTTAAACAAATTGAAGGCCTATATCTCTAAGTCATGTTTTCATGTCTTCCACAGTTTGGATCAAGTGCATCAAAATTGATTCTCCTTCTTTCAAGCCCATCATGAGTGTTGGGCTATTGCTAGCTTCATCCCAAGTGGATTGCACCACTCCTTGCATGGCTTCCTTGATCTTCTTGGCTCTGGATCTTGTAATTGGCCCATATGGACATGCAAAGAATCTTTAAGAGTATGCCCACCTTGGTTCTCATCAGGGAGTGTTAAGAATAGTAGGGTAGTATATGTAAATTGTTAATAGTAAAAGGATATATGTGTAATTCTAATTATTGTAGGTTAACTATAAATATAAGTGATGTATGAGAGCTATGTTAAGTTCTTAAAATCTCTCTGTTTTTTCTCTAAATATTGTCTCTAATATTGTGTTAGTCCTCCAAACTTAACAGGTTATTATTGAAAGCTAATTGGATAACACAGATAATTGAACTCCTGAAACTCACACAAGTTCATTTATTGGCTATCATTCCAATTGCCTAAGAGGTATCATAGACAAACTGAAGGGACAAAATCTATCACTTGAATGTAAAGCTACATATCTAGGCCTTAATGAGAAATTGAATAGACAAAATGCTAGGCGAAGAATCTTGGAAGAATCAGTAAGATGAAGATAATTTTTTTCTTGTAGCTTGGAAGTACTTTTCCATCGTTCAATCTCTACCTCTGAGAAGTTCCATTTCCACCTTATTCGCATGCAAATTCTGCAACTTACAACAAAATTAAAACTAATTCAAGCATACGTCATTTCTTTTGCATCTTTTTTTCTATATCTATTTCTCTCAGAAGTCGTGTACTTCGGAGTCATTCCCAATCTATGCAGCAACATAATTGTGAACAAACAACAAACTATTCAAGAATAAGGTGAACTGATTCATTTCTGCAGGGCATGTCATAATATAAAAAGGCAATATAGAAAACAGAGCTCTCCGGAGTAAGTTTTTCTTTGGTGTAAGTTTATTACTACAACTTGTAGAGCAAGGGGATTAAATTATTAGGTGGATGTACTTGTATGTATGGAGCTGTACATATCCAGTCAAATTGAGAAAAAAAAAAAAGTGATTGCCCATTTGAGTAGTGCACTTTAATCTCAACGAAATAGTCAAGATATTGAGTGGGATCTGAAATTGTGGTAACCCTCTGAAAATGTAAAAATTGGGCGGGCATATTTTTCCTCACTTTCGTGGTAAAAATCTAATTGTCTCAACTATATCAAATGTGCCTTGAGAAAACCCGAAACTAACCCAACCTTAGGTAAACCTTCTTCGTCTCCCACTCCCTAACCAGAGAGAGAGAAGCACTTCTATAATGGGTAAATAGTTGACACTAATGGCAAAGCAGGTTTTTCATAGATGCAGTGGCAAAATTCTCGGCCCAACAACCGGCAAATTATTGTTTGAGTACAGCCAGTTCACGCACATGATATCAAACATTAGGTTCATACCATGGCCCACTCCTTGCCAAACTCTTGGTTAACAAGGACCAAACGAAGCAATGACCATCATCTATTTGAAGAAGAAATAGAACACTATCTAGGTTCATCCTCCCTACATGTGTACTTGAGGCAATATGAATGAGGCTGGGTATATAACACATTAAGATTTCCCGTTCCATATTTTTTGGTATTTTGGTAGTAACATTACACCAATAAACTCCACAATCAAGCATAATCCACAAAGCAAAGTCCAAGTAATTCATCAATTGCCGAACAATTGCAATATAACAACCATCACCTTTCACAACCCTGTTTCCCTATATAGACGAAAACACACATATATAGCATGATTAAATAAATCATAAACTCAAGAGAGGAATGTCACTAACCTCCGTCCCAAGGAGTATCATCAGGTCTACAAATAAAGAAACACACAATCCACAAAGGACAAGATCAAAACAAAGCCAGAGCAAACGCCCATTATAAATATGCGTGCATAGATATATCTGAGATACATAGCATATACGTACCCAAAAATCACAGCGTTCCACAAGATGATGTTATTGTCATGAGGGGCANGAAGCACTTCTATAATGGGTAAATAGTTTACACTAATGGCAAAGCAGGTTTTTCATAGATGCAGTGGCAAAATTCTTGGCCCAACAACCGGCAAATTATTGTTTGAGTACAGCCAGTTCACGCACATGATATCAAACATTAGGTTCATACCATGGCCCACTCCTTGCCAAACTCTTGGTTAACAAGGACCAAACGAAGCAATGACCATCATCTATTTGAAGAAGAAATAGAACACTATCTAGGTTCATCCTCCCTACATGTGTACTTGAGGCAATATGAATGAGGCTGGGTATATAACACATTAAGATTTCCCGTTCCATATTTTTTGGTATTTTGGTAGTAACATTACACCAATAAACTCCACAATCAAGCATAATCCACAAAGCAAAGTCCAAGTAATTCATCAATTGCCGAACAATTGCAATATAACAACCATCACCTTTCACAACCCTGTTTCCCTATATAGACGAAAACACACATATATAGCATGATTAAATAAATCATAAACTCAAGAGAGGAATGTCACTAACCTCCGTCCCAAGGAGTATCATCAGGTCTACAAATAAAGAAACACACAATCCACAAAGGACAAGATCAAAACAAAGCCAGAGCAAACGCCCATTATAAATATGCGTGCATAGATATATCTGAGATACATAGCATATACGTACCCAAAAATCACAGCGTTCCACAAGATGATGTTATTGTCATGAGGGGCACCGCTAATTCCTGCAGGTGGATCTTGCTGCAGCCTCTTGAAATCTCTCATCAGCCTCTTTCTAGCAGGGGTCGACATAACTTACACCAGAGCCTTATTGTCCTCTTATGATTATCGTGGTTTCTTTCAAAAACACGAATTAGCACGCAGCTATATGTCGAGATAGACGGGAGATCTGGGATAATCTAAGAGAGAGCCAAGGGGGAGAGAGAGAGAGAGAGAGTTTCTTCTCTGGTATTTCTTTTCTTTTACAGGCCAAGCCCATCCAAGCTTTCAGTGTCATTGTTGAATTATTGGTAATTTAATAAACGTTCAATTACAATGAGGCACTCTAACAAATGGATTTATTACTCAGCCACCTCTTCACAATTCTAAAATGGCACGGAGATGTGATTATTGACTTTTATTGAGGGGAAATTTTTTTTTTTTTTGCCTTAGGATATGTTTTTAGAGGATTGGCTCATTACATTCAAAAAAAAAAAAAATTAATTTAGTATAACTAATTGAAGGAATTGAGTGTGAGAGCCAAATGAATTGAAAGATTCATGTTTGGTCGGGAAGGAATCATGGAAGTTTTGAAATGAATGGAAAGATAATCTATTTTTATTAAATGATTTATTAGATAATCAAAAATAGAGGATATTGAATACTATTCCAAATTCAAAAGAATTACGTGGAAGGATCATTTAACAACCGGAAAAAGTCCGGGCTCTCTTACAAAAAGTGAAAATGCAAGTAGAGCAATTTTGCCCAATAAACCTCAAAGCCAATGTGCATATAATTTGAATGAACATAGCAGTTTATTAGAATAAAAATGTGTTAAATCGGGTGAGCTTGATTAATTAGGTAGTGTAGACAGCTCGAGCGATTTGTAGATGGTTGGAGTAGTCTCTGCTCCTTAGATCTAGTTTGAACCATTTTTTTCATTCAAGTAACAAAACGCTCTCTGAAAACTTGAGAAATACTTCACGAATTTGTACTTACTTGGAACCCAAGACAAACTTAATTTTGAATCTATATAAAGGGCAAACCTTCCTAAACTAGGGTCACTCTCTTGGAAGCTTATTTTCTGCCTCTTAATCATCAAGAGAGCTTATAACAACTCCAGATCCCTAAATCTCCAAAGGGCATCCATCTTGATTATTCTATTCAAGCTTACACCTCGAAGAAGAAGATCTAGCTCAGAGTTCAACAAAACCCATTTTGAAGAAGTATGCATTCGGATCTTATGAGAAAATATAGCTTGAAGAGCCTAAACGGTTTATTATTATTAGATCACATTTTGTAATTGACTAATTTCGTGGAGTCTATTGTAAATCTCAACATTTTTCATGGTTACGATGCTATCAAATTGAAGATTCAAAAGTATCATCAAAGGAAGGAGATCAAGCGTTAAAACAATATCATTCAATCTCCATATGCAACTCTCTGCTTAAAACAAAGGTAATGACCTACAATGATTATGATGAAAATGACATTGGAAGTAATCCGAGTATTGCTCCTAGTTATTTTGAAAAGAATATTCCTAAGATATACAATTGTTGAGATTTGGGATCTACGTGAGATTGATTATGAAGAAATTAATTAAAGTTAATCGTCATGTGCAAAAAAGGTGGTGGTGATTAAAGGGGTTCTGTAACACACCAAAACACACCCTGGACGGCATTACATGAGAGCACTAATATAATCCCTTAAGAAACAAGACTTCATTTGTCATCCATGAATATTTACAACATTATCCAAAAGAATAAGCCCAAGTCATGGCTATTATATCTCAAAAATTAATTAAAGAAGCGCAGCGGAACAAACAAAACAAGCTAGACTACACAATGTTCCAAAAAAATATCCTAGTCTAGTACAAAAGGAAAGGATGTCACTCTATGCGTCCACCTCGGGATCCACACTCCCGTCCAGTGGAGTCTCCCAAGTAACGGGCTCCTCGACTCTTACGTCCTCCTCCTTAAGCGAGTAATCTGAAAAATGCTAGCGATAGGGGGTGAGCACGAAGCTCTGTAAAAAAATTCTCCCAAGCCCATACAAGGTTTAGAAAATCATTTAAAATGGTCGGTCTCAATTTTAACATAACATATATACATAATTTGAAATAAAGTAGTGACATTTAAAAAAGATCTCAAGTTTATTTAAAAACATTACTTAAATGAATAAACAAGCACCACATACAAATAATAACTATTAATTATCATAACCAATTCCCAACAATTCTTTCGGTAGGTGGCATACTTTGTAGTAACCTCCACCCCCCTTTAGGTCACCTTTGATTCTCAAGCATCCTTACTGGGAATCTCTTGAGAATGGATGAGCATCCTTACATGGAACCTCTCTCCAATCACTACATTGTTTCCCAAGCATCCTTACCGGGAACCTCTTGGGAATGGGTGAGCATCCTTACAAGAAACTTCTCACTCATGTGTATCGCAAACAACCCAACCAAGCATACAATTTCAACATTTATCTCAATTTACAAGCATCTATCCAAAATATCCAAAATATATCATGTAACAATTCCACAACCAACTAAGAAAATACATGAGATCACAATAACATCATTTTTCTACCCAACACAAAGCACTAAGGTTTCGAAATCCATAATAAATAAAGTATTTAGGAAGAAAATACATCACTCTCCAAAAATTAGGGTTTTAAAACTAAAAAGGAGATTTCGTGGGTATTAAACTCTACTTGGTTCAAAACATGTAATCCTTGCAAAAAGCCTATGAGAGGATGATTCCATAGCATATATATATACCATTGATAGTCAAAACAAACATATATAAATACTCTAGCCTCAATGTAAGTGAATGAGAGAAAACTCCTACTTTGAATCCTTAGTTTGTAGGAAGAACTTGAGCTTTGATCTTGAATCTACCCTTAAATCTCTTGTTTTTCCTTTCATTTCTTCCTCTCTAATGCTCTCTAGGATTCCAAGAGGTGTAGGGTGAGAGTGGAGTGAAAGAAATGAGGGCAAATGGGATGAAAATGGGGTTTAAAACACCTCAGCCCCGAAATTCACTGTTCATAGCCTGTTTTGGTTTTCTCCAAAATTACGGTTTTGCCACTAAGAATCTCCAATTTGATCCATATGACTACCCTAAGGTTTTTTGAAATTTCGGATTCATTTTTAATGTTATTTTAACCTAAAAACATTTATTTTTATGATTTATCTCAAAACCAAAGTCAACGTACACCCGAAACACTAAAGTTTCTATTTTACCTATTCGAACCGGTTATTAATGAAATTTTGCGTTGTTTGCAAATAAAAGGTGATAAAGGGTACTTTTTAAGCCTTTTATACTTATTTGAAGCCTAAATGTACTCATTATTCTTATAATTTGATTTATGATGCAAATGAAGATGTTAAATGCAAAACAAAGCTAATTGGACTATTTTGATATCGCTTCGTTATCTGGGTATAACTCTCTCATCCGAGCTCCGATTGAGATGATTCAAGATGCTATGGAATGATAAGAAAGAGCTCTAAAAATTTTATGTTTTGAGGTTTGAGAGATATTGAATTCATCAAGGTCTAAATCGGGNATCTACCCCCCTTAAAGAAAGTTTCGTCCTCGAAACTTACTCAAGTAGCGAACAAATATGGATACTTCTCTCGCATTTCTTGCTCCGGTTCCCATGTAGCTTCCTCCACTCCANGGTTTGAGAGATATTGAATTCATCAAGGTCTAAATCGGGCTTGAAGTTGCAGCCAGTGCACTGTTCACGTGCACTATTCAAGCTAATTGGGCTATTTTGACATCACTTCGTTATCTAGGCATAACTCTCTCATCCAAGCTTTGATTGAGATAATGAAAGATGCTATGAAATGCTACAAAAGAGCTCTAAAACTTTTATTTTTTGAGTTTTAAAAGATATTGACTGCATCAAGGTCGAAATCGCACTTGAAGTTGCAGCCAGTGCACTGTTCACGTCCTGTTTCATCCCTTTTCCATTTCCAATCCATTCCTAAGCCAACCAAATCCATCCCAAACCTCTCCAACACATATTTCTACACCAAACCTATTTAATACAAGTTCTAGGACCTAAAATTTCATATTTTCACTTATTAAAACCAAATTTCAACTATTATTTTCACTAACATTTTAAATCTCTACTTTTNTAGAGTCACGATCCGACACAATCGAGAGTGGAATGCCGTGTAACCTCACTATCTCACGGATATACAATTGGCTCAAAGTCTCGAATGTATCCGTGGTCTTCATACCCAAAAAGTGAGTGAACTTGGTGAGTCTATCCACTATGACCCACACTGCATTATGCCCGCACGACATCCGTGGTAAACCCGACACGAAGTCCATGGTGATGTGATCCCACTTCCACTCTCGCATAGGCAAAGACTGTAGGACTCCTCTTGGCCTTTGATGTTCAATCTTCACCTACTGGCACACCGCACATTTTGCCACATACTTGGCCACATCTCACTTCACTCTCCTCCACCAGTTTTGACGCTTCATGTCCCTATGCATCTTTATGCTACCGGGGTGGATAGCAAACTTGGAACGATGACACTCTCCTAGTATCTCCTCCTTTAGGGACGAATCATCAGGAACACATAACTTCTCCCCATATATCAACTCTCCATTCTTCCAAGACCATCCTTCAATCGCTTCTCCATTCTCCAATCGGGCTCTAATCCAATTGAGTTCCAAATCCAGGCATTGCAACTCCACTACCTGTCGCCGAAACGTCGGTTGAGCTACAAGGTTGAATAGATATGGTTGATACTCCGGTCCATCCACCCATAGATCGTACTCCTCCAATGCATCANAAATGTCTGGTCCAAACAAACTACTCTCACCGGCTTCTAACCAACACGTCGGTGATCGGCATGGTCTTCCATACAATGCTTCATACGGTGCCATCCCAATACTTTCTTGATAGCTGTTGTTGTAAGCAAACTCCACCAACGGTAAGTGGTCNCTACATTGGCCTTCCCTAAATGGTAGTTGAGCGTGAACTCATAATCTTCCAAGTACTCAATCCATCTTCTCTGCCNCTACCAACGGTAAGTGGTTGCTCCAACTCCCCTTGAAGTCCAACGTGCA